CCGAATCCTACACAGGGTCACTATGAGTTGGAACCAACTGGACAGCACTTAAGAACATAGGGCTTCCGATGAGTAGCTGTTGGGTTTGAATTGCTGACCTTTCGGTTAGCAGCCCACTGCTTATCCTATCGCACACCTGATGTCCTCTATTAATTCTTGGGTCAAAACATGCGTGTGTTTTTTAAAATTTATTTACTGTCAGTCCACTAGGATGTGAGAGCCACAAGGACATAACTGTTTTGTTCTGGTGCTATGGGTTAATGTGCTGGACTTGGACTGCAAAATCGGTTTGAACTGCAAGGTCAACGGTTCACACTCACCAGTCTCTTCTGGGAAAGTCTATACAGGGCTGCTATGAGTTGGAACTGACTCAACTGTACTTAACAACAGCAACAACATAAAACCAGACGGTCTAGGACAAGTGTCCCATGGAAGGACTCAATACACATTCAAAAGGGATGAAATGAAATATCCATCACTGGGGGGATACTTACACAGACTGTGTTACACCCAAACCATTGGCTTCTATACAAATTAAAAGCTAAAATCAGAAAAAGGGGGTGATTTTTATTTAGTTTTTTTTGTTGTTGTTGTTACCTACAGAAATGAACACAAAGAATGCTCATTTTAATTTAGTTTATTCAAATGTATTATGGGCAGGAAATTTTTCTTGAAGTATTTCAAGGTCAAACACTAAGTGAATTTATGTGGGGTCCAGCAAATGTGTTCAAGGTTTATTTATTCAAGGTAACTCCAGAGAGCACAGTACAGCATTTGTTTTTCTCTCATACATAAATGTAGACATAACACCCTCCAACTCTTCCACAATGAGCAGCATAAACTCAACCTTCTATAAAAACGATACTAATCCATGGGACTGTCACAACTGTAAAGGGAGAAGTTCTGTAACAAAAACAAGGGAGTACCTTCATCTTACCATCTAGAAACAGAGGACCCTGGGACCACCAACGGAGAAGAGTACAAGCGGAATGCGGGACCCTATCCAGAGAAGCAGTGACACCAGAGATGGAGGCAGAGATGAGGGCATGGAGAGAGGGAGCAACTGAGGACCCTAGACTTATCTAAAGAGAGGGACTGGGTACTGGCAGCCAAGAGGCAGACTTGTAGAATGTGTCTTTTCATTGTTTAAATTATTATATATTCCTGAGTGTTCTTGTGTAGATCTGCACACCCACACCCACCCCCAAAACACACACATACACAGAAAAACAAAGAGAATGGAAGCAAATACTGTTGAATGATGTTGCACAGAGGATATTGTAGTCATTGCAATGAAACAATGGTGTAAGGTTATCACTCAGTTCACAATAAAATCTTTATAGGTATTATAGCCTATACATTAAAAATTACATAAGGCCATAGGTGGAATCCAGAACCTCACCCAGAATCTTCTGAGGTGGGAAATTTCTACTTGAAAGGACAAGCTGACCAGCCTGGTGTGGCTAGAAGAACAGAAGATACTTCTTGAAAGAAAGACCTACAGGAAAAATACAAAACAACAACAGCAGTCCAAATGATTACTATAAGAAACAGACAAGTTGCTTGCCCAGGAGACATCAAGGCAAGTGGTCAGGTCCCCTCAGGGCAAACCCCCTTCCAAGACTAAGACTCAATGGGAATACATGCTCTGATTGGTGACCAAGGTCACCGATAAAGGGAAGCGAGGGAAAAACAGCAATGAAGCTGCAAGCTAAGTCCTACAACGTTCAATATAGACTCCTGTGAATCCGTATGGAGACCTGGTTGGCCAGCAGTGTGGCAAGACTTGGGTACTCTTGGGCCCAGAGTCAGTGACATAGCCACAGAGGACTAGAGTGGAGAGTGAAGCGTCCAGCTGATAAGAAGAGAGGACATATGCATAAGAACACCCACACTTGCAGATAATACCCACTTGACCTGGCTTCAATGACTGGATGATCAGAGCACAAATGGAAGAAGAAAGCAGAAAAAAAGAGTAATCTGATACACTTTGATGAACTTGACCTACACCTACGGATGCAGTAGATCAAAAGAGGGAACACATTTTTACAGTGAGGGTCATTCCCACCCTCTCCATACACAGAGTAGACAGGGATGGGCAACTTGGACATTGGCTACCCAAAATGGGGGGTTGGGGGGGGTGGTACAAAGGCAAGAAGTGACTGGCTTACAAGCTTTTAAGAGGAAGCCTAGATCCAGAGAGTGTGGAGGAAGGAAGGTAGAATCTCCACTGAGTAATGTTCAATCTGTACAGGCAGGGCTGATGAAACTTGATGTGGATAGGTCTCTTATGATACAATAGTGAATAATTGTTATCAGGACTGATTGTGAGAGCTGGAAATGTAAAGGTAGAGAGAGGTTTGTAACAAAAGGAGGGGAGTGATTGACTTTGCAGTCTAGGAGCGGAGGTCCCTGGGACCATCAAGGGAGAAGAGCGGAGAGCGGGACCCTACCCAGAGAAGCAGTGATGCCTGAGATAGAGGCAGAGAAGATGACTTGGAGAGATGGAGCGGCTGGGGACTCTAGATCCAGAGAGGGAGAGGGGCTGTGTGCTGATGACAGGGGGTGGGGGGAAGGGGGTGGGGCAGGCTTTCAGGGTATACCCTTTGGCTGGTTGATGATGCATGGAGGGGACTGTAACCATGGCAATGAAACAATATATAATAGAATGAATGTAAAACTAATGTTCTCCCATGTAAACTATCACATAATTCACAATAAAACATTAAAAAAAAAAAAAACACCTGATGAGTTAGAACTGACAACCTTGTGATTAGCAGCCCAACACTTGACTCATTAAGCCACCAGGGATCCTTTAATTTTTTATGTTGTTGTTGTTAAGGTGTATCAAGTTGGTTCCTAATCATAGTGACCCTGTGTAGAGTTTCTAAAAGGAGACCTGGTAGGGTAGTGGATTAAGAGCTGGGCTGCTAACCTCAAGGTCAGCAGTTTGAATCTACCAGTTGCTCCGTGGGAGAAAGATGAGGCTTTTTGGTTCCATCAAAATTTGCCGCCCCAGAAACCCTATACAAGGCCACTAGGAGTCAGAGCTGACTCGGTGGCATACAACCACCAGCAGTATATAGTTTCTGAGGAGCAGTTGATGGGTTTGAACAACTGACCTTTCAGTTAGTTGTTCGGTGCTTATCCTACAGGGTCACACCAGGACTCAATCTACTATTCCATTGAGCCCAATATATTAATTTTAGGGGATGACTCTTGCTGTGTACACCTCTAGAGTAAGACTACATACTCTACCTGACATAAAGCATGCATTAAACAAGTATTTTTTTAACGAATGGGTAAATAAATGAATGAATTAAAAAGTGAAAAAAGGTACATCAGGTATATTATTTCCACTAATCTAACTCACCATCATCTCCAACCCAGGTTATTGTACTTCATTGGTTCTCTACCAAGACCAATTTTACACACTTCTTCCAGGGGACATTTGACAATATCTGAAGACATTTTTAATAGGTAGAGAATAGGGGTACTGCCAAATATCCTACAACACAAAGGACAGTCCCCAAAGCAAAATATCAACAGTGCCAGGCTGAAAATTCCTGCCACATTCATTCTTTGTTTCTATCCCTGCTCTCTATCACAGCCCAATCTCACTGCAGCAGAGTGATCATCTCAAAATGTGAAACAGATCATGTCTCTCCTAGCTTAAAACTACCCAATGACACTCCCTCTCACTTGTAGTTAAAAGTCCTTACAATGGTCCCCAAAAGAAGCAACATGATCAGTAACCCCATTCCATGCTACCTGACTTCCTTTCCAACTTTTCCCCCTGTTCATTCTTGCTACACAACACTTTAGGGCTCTAGTAAATTCCCTCTAGCTAAAATGTTTTCCCTCAATATCCTCTTTCTTGCCTAGCTCTCTCACCTCCTTCAAGTCCTTACTCGAATCTGATCTCCTCAATGGGGCTTACTATGATCATCCTATTTAGCATTCCATCCTGTCAAATGGGCTGCCATCCTCCATCCTTAAACCTGCTCATGTGTTCATTTCTTTTCTCCATAAAACATACTACCCCTAATAGTTACACACAACTTACTTAAGATAATTATTGCTCATCTCTCCACAGAATGTCAATTCTGTGATCACAGGGATTTCTGTCTTGTTCATCTAGAACCGTGCCAGGCACACAGTAAATCATCAATATTTAATAACTAAATCTGAAAAAGTTATCCCATGCTCTGCTCTTTGGTTGCCAGAGTACAGAGACTCTTTCTTCTGGGTGAAATATGAATATGAAATAGTAGTAAACGGAGGATTCAGATAGGAGCATTTTTCTTGTACCCAAGGCCAGTCTATACATGGTTGTCACCCACAACTCTCTCTACTGGAGAGGGGAGGCTGCAAATAACTGTGGAATGCACCAATAAATGAAGAAGTATCAACCAGCAGTGTAGTGGTTACAGTGAGCTGCTAAGCGCAAGATCGGCAGCTCAAAAATACCAGCTGTCCACGGGAGAGAAAGTATGCTCCGGTAAAGATTTACAGCCTCCGAAACACTATACGGGGTCGTTATGAATGGGAACTGCCTCCCGGGCCACACAACCACCTCCATGGGTAGGAATCTCTGCAAACCAGACTATCCCTCTACCTCTGTCCCCTTTTTACATCCTAAAGCAACAGCAGTGACACAAAGATCACGAAAAGAACAACAGGAGGGGTTTGGCCTCACACTTTCCTCAGAACACTCCCTCTTAATCTAATACAACAATCGTGGGGAGGAATGGAGCTGTTAGAAACATGTCAGACAAGTTTGAGAATTCGAAATGGGAAATCCTGAAAACATGCAAGCAAAAAAGGGCGTTAGGACTTCCATGATCCACGGACAGTCAGACGTCTCCTCTAACCTCCAGGCGCTGCGTCCCACCATCTCCACTCTCTCCACCAGTGGAGCAGGACATTCGCTGCATCTCCGCAGGGGACGCGAAGGATCCAAGCCCCCGAGCAGGAGAACCACGCTAGCTCCTACTCACCTGCTGCTCCATGTCCAGTTCCGTCCCACACACGCCAGGGAAGTGCAATGGAAGAAGACAAGCCGCCGGAATCCCGGCACCCAGATTTTTCTCGCTAGCTCGCGACACAGAATATTTGCGCCACGGTTTCCAACAACTACCAGTTCGATGCCAAACCCGCCACTTTTGAATTCAAACGGCCGCTTCCCATCCTCACCAGGGTCCACACGCAGAGGCCAATCAACAACGTCGCCACAGCTGGGGACCAATCGCAGCGCCCTCCGCCTGCTGAGGACACACCTCGCCGGGCGGGCACCTCTTCCTTCCGGTTTTAGTGGCGTCCAGGAGGTAGCTAGACAGTCACACTCTCAGGCTCACTTTTCCTTCTCTCGTCCCACTGCCATTCACGCACGAATCACGCTCGACTTCCGCTCAGCTCCCAACCGCCCCTGTACGTCAGAAATGCGTTAAAGACGCCGCACGAACGGAACTGGCCTGGGTGGGGAAAAAGTGGGTGGAGCGGGGAGACTGAGCGTGCTTACAGGTACTTGTGCCAGGAGAGGATCTGCAAAAGCTCCTGCTAGCGATTGCGATAGGGAGTGCACTCGTTAGCCTGGACTGGCTCGAAGTTTGTCGGGATCAAATATGATGGGCACCCAGCAAGTTGAACTGGTCCCGGAAGTGAGGGCTAGAACCTGTACGCGAACGGGAGGGTGGAGGTTCTACTCATTCCCCATTTTGGCATTCCACACCAAATTTAGGGACTTTAAGTATGATTGTACTGCCAACCACAAGGTCGGCAGTTCAAATCTACCAGGTGTGCTCCGCGAGAGTACAATGAGGCTTTCTGTTCCATAAAAATGTACAGCCTTGGAAACACTATGGGTTGGAATTGACTGTGGGCTTCATAAAGCCTCGGAAACACTATGGGCCAATTTCTATGTCCTGTAGTAAGAATTGGTTCTTGGGCAGCAGGTTTTTTCCTTGGTTTGGATATGATTTACCTCTCCATAGAAGCGGTGGGGATGTTAGGAAAAAGTTTAGAGGCAGACCATTTTTCTCTCCCTCCTTTCCTGGACAACTGATTGGGCCTTCCTGAACTTTCAGCTCACGAAGGGTTAAGCTGTTCCCATTTATGGAGTAATTTTTGCTTTTCAGATTACCTACTTGTGAACTATCTCGTTTAATAAATGATACAATTCACTGAGTTTCACGATGTACCAAGTGCTTTGATAGCTGTAAGACACTTGAAGATTTACAAATGTTAAGTAACAAATTACAAGGTCGTCCTGCTGGATGGGACAGAATCTAGATTCCATTCACTTCAAAATCTAAGCTATTTCTATTATTCTATTCTATTATTCTAAACTACCAGCTGTTCCGCGGGAGAAAGATGAGGCTTTCTGCTCCTGTAAAAATTTACAGCCTCGGAAACCCTGTACAGGGTCGCTGTGAGTTACCACGGCACACAGCCAAACTGCCTATAGCAATCTTTTTTATACATATATAATTTGTTGTTGAGAGTATACACAGCAGAACATACACCAATCGATTTTACATGTACGAAGGAGTTTCAAAAAGTTTGTGAAAAAATGGAATGAAAAGATGATGGAATTTTTACACGAACTTTAAAAAATTGTCTTGTACAATTCAGTGATATTGATTACATTCTTCAAGTTGTACAACCATTCTCACCCTATTTTTCTGAGTTGTTCCTCGCTCATTAACATAAACTTGTTATTGGTAAGTGCCACCCAGTAGGTTCAGACTCAGTGACCAGGTATAGGGTTTCCGAGGAGCAGTTGGGATTATGAACCACCCATTTTGCAGATTAAACGGACCTTGCGGTCCAGTACTTATCCTACAGCACCACACCAAGACTCCATAACACAACTTTACTGCTCCCTACGTTTCCTATCTAATGTCAGTTTGATACATAAATCTGACTTCGAACCACAAGGTATGTGGTTGGAGTCTGCCAGCCTCTCCACAGAAGAAAGATGAGGCTTTCTGCTCGCTTGAAGATTTAATGCACTGGAAACCCTATAATGGGTCACTATGAGTCGAACTGACTCAACAGAACTTAACAACAACAGATCTCTTTCTCACTGCCATCAAAGTCAATCCTGACTTTTAGCAACCCTATATAGGGTTTCCCATTACTCGTCTGTCAGTTTGTCATACTGTGATGGCTTGTGAGTTGCTGTGATTCTGAAAGCTATGCCACCGGTATTTTAAATACCAGCAGGGTCACCCATGGTGGGCAGGTTTCATATGAGCTTCCAGACAAAGAGACTAGGAAGGAGGAGTGACGAACCACTTCCGGATATTTAGTCACTGAAAACCTTATTAATAGCAGAGAAACACTGTCAGATATGGTGCCAGGAAATGAGCCCCTCAGGTTGGAAGTCACTCAAAATGCGACTGGGGAAGAGCTGCCTCCTCAAAGCAGAGTTGATTGTGATAACACGAATGGAGTTTACTCCCATGGGAGAAAAGCCCGTGGGACCTTTATTTGCTGATGGGGCACAACTCAAAATGAAGAGAAACAGCTGTAAATATCTTTTGAAAATCGTAACATGGAATATACAAAGTATAAATCTGGGAAAATTCAAAGTTGTCAAAAATGAAATGGCATGTATAAACATCGGTATTTTAGGCATTAGTGAGCTGAAATGGACTGGTACTAGCCATTTTGTATCTGACAACCAAATGGTTTACTATGCCAGGAATGACAAAGACGAGTGGTGTTGTATTCATCATCAAAAAGAACATACCCAGATCAGTCATGAGGTACAATGCTGTGATAGGATAATATCCATGCGCCTACAGGGAAGCCCAGTTAATACCACTATTATTCAAATTTACGCACCAACCACTAAAGCCAATGAGGATG